TTTATTGGGAAGTATCCTAGGATATTTGTACTCTTACTGAACAGAGAGAAAGGTACTGGATGTGGATTATTTTTTGTTGGTAACTCCCGGGAATTACCTGTGAATACCCATCACTGTACAGTCTTATAAAGCAGCAATGCTCCTAGGGCCTCTGTCTTGAATGACACAAACCTGCTTCCCTGCTTGTGGCTGTGCTGCCTCCTCCTTGCCATCCGCTGTCACCTTTGCTGTTCTGCCATTATGCTGCTTATGATGTGCCACCTTGTGGTGTCTGTTTGTCTTCCTAAGAGGCAGAGACTGGCTCTAGATTCTCACATAGTGTGAGGATGATGTGCTTTGTGAGAGGTGTTTGCTACTCAGAGATCCTGCCACTTATTTCCATATTTCAGGCTGGGCTCCTAATTACTGACCTTCTTGGGAACAGTTTACTTGGGAGGAACTAGCAAATTGGCCAGATCCTAAAACCTGCCTCCTAGTCCGCTTGTGGTCAATATGTGCTTCCAAATTCTTCCTACAGAATTCTGAAATGACAATAGGTCAGAATTAGATGGTGCTTATTCTCTTGCATTATTTACACATGAGTCATTGCATCTTTACAATTCTCAGGTTATCTCTAATTTCCAGATTAAAAAAATGGAGGCACAGAGGGTAAGTGACGTACGCAACAGGGGCATAGCTGGTAAGTAAGTGGCAAAGCTGGGACTCTAACACAGGCAGCCTGGCTGCGAGGTCTGTACTCCTTACCTGCCACACTTCCCAGGATTCTGTCTGTGTGACCATTGGTGGGAACTGGAATGCATAGAGGGAGGTGGCTGGTAATTGAGTTTCGCTGCTGCATCCTCAGACAAACCCATCTTCCTGAGCAACCAGGTCTAGCATTTGCTGCTTTCAAATTTCTCCTGCTGCTCTGATCCAAACTGAAGTTAGCATCAACTACCAACAATGATCAATCATTTTCTGCGTGGCAGGCGTGGGTCTGGGCATTTTACTAATATCTTTGATTCCTATGACATTATCATCTCATAAGGACTGAAGGCTTAGAGATTTAAGTGTCTTGTTCAAATCATGCAATGATTGGCACACCCATCATTTTCATTCCTTAAATAGCTCAAGGACAAAAGCCTCCATCATTCCCCATTTGTCTATAGGATAGAAGCCAAACTCCTCACTGGCAGGCAAGGTGCCATGTTATCTCTCCAACCTTATCTGCCCCTGGGCTTCAGCTTGGCTCTTCTGTTCTACACTGGCATGTCTGTGCCCTCTCCCCCAACCCACAGGCTCACTCCCAGTGCCCAGCCATCTATCCGTTGTTCCCACGACCTAGAATGTCCTGTGTTTCCCTTCATGCCTACTCGAACCTGTGTGACAAAGGACACAGCTCAGCCTTCCCTCTCACACGTGAAATGCTCCAGGCCCTAGCAGTCTCACTTCACCCTAGACTCCTTGCACCAGTCACCGGGGCACACGGGGGCACAGAGCACACACAGTTGAACTCCAGATCATCAGTTCAGGCCGCTCACTCACAGCTCCACATTTGACACTTGAGCTGAATATTTGATTCATATGGTATCACATACAGGAGTGGACAAAAGTAGGTTAGTTACTAGCCATCATTACCTAAAAGATAAATCATAAGTATATGATATAATAAAAATAAAAACAACTAATAATTAACAAATAAACACAATTACAAGAATAAACTCTGTTTTGGGTACTCACAAAGTACAGAGTTCTGCAATCATTACCACAATTCAATTTTAGACTATTGCGTCACCCCGAGAAGATGCCTTATACTTTTCCATTTGTACTTACCCTGCGCTCACAACCCTGCCCCCTGGCAAGTAAAAATCATTTTCTGGACATTCTACATAAGTGGGAACATACAGTAGGTGGTATTTTGAATCTGGCTTTTTCACTTAGCATAATGTAGTCAAGGTCATTCTTGCTGTGGCACGTATCGCTACTTTGCCCCTTTTGATGGATAAATAATATTCCATTGTATGTGTATACCAATCACATTTTGCTTATTCATTCAACAGTTGATGAACATTTGGATTGTTTCAAATGAACAGTGCTGCTATGGATATTCATGTATAAGTCTTTGTGTGGACATAATACTTTTATTTCTCTGGGGTAGATATCTAGGAGTGGCATTGTTGGATCATATGGTAAAGTTTCTAAAATGGCTGTGCCATTTTACATTCCCACCAGCAATATATGAGAATCCTAGTTTCTCCACATCCTAGCTGATACTTCCTACTGTCTGTGTTTCTTATTATAGCCTTCCTAGTGGGTGTGAAGTGGTATCTCATTGTTTTTTTGATTTGCATTTCTCTAATGACCAATAATATTGAGCATCTTTCCATGTGCTTATTGGCCATTCAAATACTTTATTTGATGAAATGTTTATTCAAAGTTTTGCTCATATTTCAATTAGGTTGTCTTTTTATTGTATTATATACTCCCAGAGTTCTTTATGTATTCTAGATACAAGTCCTTTATTTTATATATGATTTCCAAATATGTTCCTCACAGTTTTGTGACTTGTCTTTTCACTTTCTTAATGGCATCTTCAGAAGCACAAAGGTTTTGAATTTTGATGAAGTCAGTCTATCCATTTTTTCATTTATCATGTGGGCTTTTGGTGTTGTATCTAAAAAGTCTGCCTAACTCTGCACTGTTTTAGAGCTGACCTGTCCCCCCCACCCCCGACTCGTCAGTATGTCTTGGACATCTTTGTACCTCAGTAAATACAGATGTGCATCATCCTTCCTGGCTTTGATTCTGGAAAGAGAGGACAGAAAGGACACAACAGGGTCTGACTACTCCAAATAACCTGGGCAACTGTGTTCATCCTTGGGGCCTTCCTACTTTTGTTTTGGATCACCTCATGTATGGTACCTCTTCTGTGATTTGTGAATAAAAACTTTATTAGGCTATTAACTGTATCACAACATTTTATGTTGTAACACCTTGGTCACGTAGATTCCTGGCCCCAAATTTCCTGTAGGCTTAAATTCCTCTATCATAGATTCTAGTGATGCGACGCTCTTAAGAAACATCAGTTCCCCTAGAATTGAGATTTGACAGCCATTGCTTCCAGCGATTGCTTCGTTCTCTCAATCTGACTGAGACTTGGGAATGATTCAGCCCTAGTTACTGTATTAAAATGTAAACATAGAAAAAGAAAAGTAAATTGTAGACTAACAGCAACTGGCACATTGTTTTTAATGGAAGACTTAGGGATATTTCTGAACAAAATAGTGGTTATCATTTAACAGGTTCCAGAATGAGATGAATGATTGCACCCTGGCCTCTATCAGGAGTGGGGCCTCACCGGCATGATGGGTAGGATACCAGGTATTGTGTAAAGCTAGAAGCTTCTTCAGGAAGTAATTTTGGGCAGAGAACACTGATGGGAAAAATCCAGGGAGGGAAAGAGCCTCCCTGGAAAGAGAGGGACCTTAGAATAAGAATGGAAAAGGCCAGTTAGAGGATTTCAGAGCTCAGTGGTGAAAAGGCTAATCTGCTGAAAAGAAGGGTCACTAGTCAACCATTTTGATGAAAAACTAAGGTGGAATGGCCGTGTTCCTTTGTGGACCTAGACCCCTGCGGTTGGAGTCCAGAATTGGAACCTGAGTACTTGACACTCTGGAAAAACAAGGACATGGGGGAAGGATATAAGGGCAGCCCCTTAGCTGGACGATGGCCGCTGCAAGGTTATGGGAGTGACCTGAGCAAAGAGCTCCTCCAGGCTGGTAGTTAACGGTATGAGGCTGAGAAATGCAGAGGGAAATCATTCGGAGTCCTTTAAGCCGTAGCCTTAGGTCTTTAACTTTTGTTTTTTCACATGGAAAACAATAATACCAAGCCACTACCGGGGCCAGCTGTTGTGTGCATGGAATATATTGGAAGACAAAGAGACCAGCTGGAAGCTACTGCAGAGATTCAAACATGAAGAGGGCTGGCCTTCTACATGGATTTGCTGTGTAAGTACAAAGAGGAGGCAAACACGGGTGGGGGTAGGGTGGGGCAAAGGGTGCAAGATGATCCAGGGTTTTTGGAGGTATAATGATATACGTACAGTAAAATGCACAAATCTTAAGTGTGGGATGGATTTTGATAAATGTCTGCATTTGTTCCCCCACCTCCGAGGTCGGTTTTTAAAGGCCGAGTTTCTTATGCCTGCAGATCCTAAGTGAAGCTGCCTCAAAAGCAAGAAGCTATATGCACCTTATGGAGAGAAGCATCAAGGGCTGGAACTATCTAGAGCCAACAGGTAGAAATCTTGTGAGCAAATGAACACAGGTGCAGGAAACGGGAATTGGAGAAGGGAAAGGCCCAATTTTTGGAGCGCGTGAGCTCTACACACTGAGAGTCTTATTTGCAGGTATAAGTGCAGAGACTTTTTTCGCCGGCCTTCACCCTCATGCTTAACTCTTAAGGGAGAATGAAATCACTTTCCCCGTTGGCTTTTGGAAACGCCTGCCTTACGGAATTTGCAGAATGGTTTCGTTGGGGGAAAGGAGCTGCAAGACCCCAGGGGGTGGTCTGCACCTCCTCCAAGCAGCTTGCACAAATACGATGCACAGCTTTGTTCCTGACCTGGGGAGCCCAGCTCCCTCCGTGCAGCGGCCCTGCAGCAATGCCTTCGGTGTTTGCAGCCTGTGCAAGCTCACAAGAACAGGAGTCTTGCGCTTAGAGTTGGGGGACGGTGGGCGTGGCTGCGCCCTCTCCCGCCCAGGCAGTCCCGGGAACATTCCGAAAAGTATCCAAAAGTTCTGCGCCGCGCGCGCCAAAAGAAAATATAAAAGGGCACAACCCCCAACTAGTCTGGGCATTGCGTGGCCAGACCTCGTCACTCCAGCTGCACCTCCGGCTGCAGTGTACACGCCTCCGCGCCTTCTCGGGAGCCTAGCCGTCGGCTGGGTGCTGCCTTTGCAGCGGTCTTCAGACCGGAGAGGCGACCAGAGAGTACTTGCGCTTCTCTTTGGAGCACCATGCCCAACGAAGATGCATTCAGCAAGCCCTCGGCACCGTCAGAGGCCCCGCACGCCCCCGGCGCACCGCCTCAGGGCAAGGCCGGGGGCTTCGGCAAAGCGGGCGGGCCGCTACTAGGAACCTCGGGCGCCGGAGGCGGCAGCGGCGGCTCTGGGACGTCTGGCATGGGCGCCGGGGGCAAGAAGTCCCCGCGGCTGCCCAAGTGCGCGCGATGCAGGAACCACGGCTACGCGTCGCCGCTCAAGGGCCACAAGCGCTTCTGCATGTGGCGGGACTGCCAGTGCAAGAAGTGCAACCTGATCGCCGAGAGACAGCGCGTGATGGCCGCGCAGGTGAGTGCGGGTGCCCAGGGACCAAGGTTCAGCCCTGAACATTGTTCGATAAAGTTCCTCCGACCTGGCCCGCGCCACGCGGGGCCAGGGTTTGGGATGTAGGGGAGGCAGCAGTTCTCGTCGGTGGCCGCGGCGCGCTCGCGCCCGGGGCTCCCAGCCACGCGCCGACGCTGCGCTCGGAGGGTCTCGTCTCCGATCCTGCTGGAGGAGCAGAAAGGTGTGGGGTTCGCTCGGCTCAAGAAGCCCTGGGATCCCTGAACCAGCCCCCCAGCAAAGGGTTCCAGGGTTCGCCCTTTCGGGGGGTCCCCAAAATGCCCAGAATCTCTGATTCCGCTTTCACAGGAAAGTTGCCGGGCTCGCTTATGAGTTCCCGGGATCCCGGAGCTCAACCTCCAGCAGAGAGTTGCGGGATTCGCTCTGCTGGAGTTGGGTCCTGGGATTTCCGTCCCGGCTCCCAGCGGAGTGGCTGGGTTCGCCCCTTTGGGGGATCCGAGGGATCCCTGACTCCGCCCCCAGCAGAGTTGAGATTAAACTCTGGATGGTGCGGGCGTGGGCTACCCGTTTGGGCAAAACCGAGACGCGGCTGCTCATCGGGATAATGTGTTGGGCAGCGGTTTTTCTGGAAAAGTCGCTGTAACGGACGCCAGCATGGCGTGGCCGTCGCTGCGGTCTTGGCGCACTTTTCGTCTTCGCGCCGCATGGGTCCTGGCTGAGCGCCTCAGCCATTTTGAGCGCTACAGCAATTTTATTCGCGTTTTCAAGTTTGCTCTCTTGACCGAAGTTATTCACGTACAGATTGTTTTGTGTCTACTTTTTAAAACTCACTTAAGAGGTTTTTTTGTTTTTCCCCCCATATGCGCAGTGAAGAAAAGGCCGGGGTTTGAAGGTTTGTCTGTCGTTCATTTCTTTTTTTTTAAGCGGCAAAAGCAGGACAGTAATTTAACAACTTAACGGAAATTTTTTAAAAAGCAAATAGTTAACGTCGTTGGTATCCTAAAAAGATTTTTGGAAGAGAATATTCTACATTCTTTCCAGCCAAAAGTTGTTTTATCCTTCTAAGACAGGTTATTTTAAATGAAAAAGATAACCCAAGAAACATTTACCAATGAAGCATTTACCAACTCAAGAAACTACTTTTGGGTAGGAATATGTAAATATCCTCCACTGAAAATGATTTAGATAAGAGCTTAAACAGGATTGCACAAATGCTTAAAGATTATACTTTTATATGCATCCTTTTTAAAAAACGTGTTTTAAACTAGATATATTTTGGCTTCATAGATTGAAAGTGCAGTCATGGAAATACAGATTGTTTTTCTAAAATAGATTTTTAGCTTAATCTATAGTGGACAAAAAGAATAAACTGAGTGTAGCATTAAAGTGTATCATAATAAGCTGACAAAAAACTTATGGACATTTAAATTGTATTTGTAATTAGAACAATATTCTGAACATTTAGTCGTTGGTTTTAGTGTGGAGAGTACGCTTGGGAGGCAAATTGCCCTCAAAATGTGGTACAAGTATTTATCCAAGTAGGGCCATTAATTTTGAATAAGCTTTAACTAGTAGGGGCACTAACTTGGGAGAAGGCTATTTGTTATGTTAAAACCAAAAACAACTCAGAATTACTTTTATAATATGACACTTAAGTGTTTTCCACACCAGAAGGCTTGCATTGTGCTAGATGAAACCTTTCAAATCCATGTAACAGCCATTTGTTTAGTCTTTCTAAAATAGTTTGAAATTAATCTTAGATATGACTCTAAAATAATTGCCTTTTTAATCAGTTGCCTCACCTTCCCTGTTTTAATAACACTGAGAACCACTGAAAGGTCTTTGTGAAAGTGTCTTTAATTTATGGAGTATTTTGTGTGTGGTGTCTCTTTGGGATTTGTGTAAATCAAGGTGTAGGTAGGCATGGACATACTTCACAGGTTTGTGGGTATCTTTAAATTATTTCTGACCAGATCCTTACTACTTTGTTTCTAAACTTCTTGGTTAATAATAGGAAATCCAAGATTTAAGCTTAATTATTTGATCTTAATTATTTAAGGATTCTTTTTGTAAGTTGGAGACTCTTATAATGAGTAAAATTATTTTCAACTTAATCAGCTTTCTAAATTTGGACTGTGAGTTTCCTAAAACAGTATATAAATTGTAGTTTTGTTGCCGTTTTACCTTTTTGACTTCAGCTTTTGGCTTGTGTTTGGGACTCTGAGGTACAAGTACTTTCTCATTTCATTATCACCAAGAGTCAATTTAAACAGAAAGTCTCCCTTTTTTGTTACATGTAGTCAGCAAAAATACAATTTATTTTCTTTATGCCTCTTTTCCAACCTTTAACAATGTTATTTAAAAGAAGATATATTGAAGATGGATCAAGAGAGGCTTCTTAGATATGTTAGGTCCCTTCCATCTCCTCCTGTTCTGCGTGGGCTCCTCCAGGGACTTCAGGACCAGCGTCCAGCCCTTTTCCCCATTACTTCTCCACGAGCTCCCTCCGCCCCAGAGAACAGAGCTCCGCAGTGTTTCCTAAGCAGCCTCTGCCTTTCCTAACCACCCTGCTCCCTTGTTCTGCCCTTCATCCTTACCTGTGAAATCCTATTCAGCCTCATATTGAAGGCCCTGTTCCAATTCCACCTCTGGTGGATTCTTACTCTTGAAGTTATTTCTGTTTCTGTCTCTGAATTTCTTCTGTAGGATTGGCGGGTACCTCTCCTGAACTATTGCCACATTTTCTGTCTTGAGTTGCATGTTTGCCTGCCTCCTGTTTCTCCTTTTAAACAGTGAGTACCTTGGGATCTCATGTCATCTTGCAGGTTGCTGTCCCCAGGACAATGACCTTTCACAAATTTGTGGAACGAAGGAGCAAGTGATCCCATTCTTCTGCCCTTCTAGTTTGTCAGTGCTGACTTCTTTGAACTCCTCTGCTTGGCTGACTCTACCATATTTCCTGATTGTCCCTAGCCCACCTTATTTCTTTCTAATGTACATACTAATTTGTTTAATGAACATTTTTTGAGCACCTACTCAAAATAGTTAGAGACACTCTGACTCTAAACTATTTCTCAGCTTTGGCTGCACATGGAATAGTTACCTGGAAAAGAGATTCTCAAATCTCCGGCTGGAGCTAATGAATCATATCTGGGGTGGGTGGGGCTTCTGAGATTTTCTCAAAGCTGCACAAGTGATGCTTACCTTGTGCTGGAGGATGACCTGCTGCCTGTGCTTCCAGGTGGCCCTGAGAAGGCAGCAGGCCCAGGAGGAGGAACTGGGGATCAGCCACCCTATTCCACTGCCCACTGCTGCTGAGCTGCTTGTCAAGAGAGAGAACAATGGCAGCAACCCGTGCCTGATGACTGAGAGCAGCAGCTCCTCCCAGCCTCCGCCGCCGGTCAGCACGCCTACCACTGCAGTGTCAGGTAAGCCGGGGGACCTGGGGTTCCCAGTGTGGCTGGGCATGAGGGAAGAAGAGGGGCCATGGCCACATAAGCAGTCTCAGGGCCCTCTGAGCCACATACCACATTCACAGCTTAGAGGATTTTCCTAAAGGAGTCTTCCTCTGAAGGTCTGTTTTTGGCTGCCTCACAAAGAAGATGGCCACATAGTCTAGAATTGGAAGTTCAGCAGCCTTACTTTTCCGTTGGTTATTAGCCAAGACTGAATCTGGACAGAGTCAGAATCACAGAATGTCAGAGGAGTTAGATTTTCCAGATTTCATTTTAATCCACCCCTCCATTTTTGGGTCCTTTTGGTGAGAGCTGAAGATCCTTGTGTTCTAGAACTAAACATCCATTTCTCTGGCAAATGACTGCAATTCATTGCGGTCAAGTTTCCCAGTGGGCCCTGGGAAGTGAGGGAAGGCATGTCCCTTTGGCTTAAATTCTCCCGTGTACGGAGACTGTGTCAGGGGTTACATGTATGTTAATTCACTTCATTTCATTCTTAGAAGTAGGAGGTGTTAGTCCTATTTTACGCATGTGAAAACTGAGGTGTAGGAAGTTTAAGCGACTGGCTAAATCTGCAGCACTAGAAAGTATCTGAATTGGTCCATCTGCTTCCAGAGCTCCCTGTGCTTACTGCACTGGGCCTCCAAATTACTTCAGGCATCAGGGGGGTCTAGAGCTGCACTGTTCAGTATGGAGACGCCTAGGCACATGTGGCTATTTAAGTGTAAGTTAAGTACAATAAAAGAACTCATCTGAAGATAAATAAATGGCTAATAAGCATGTGAAAAGGTGCTAAACATCAGTGATCATTACGGAAATGCAGATCAAAACTACAGTGAGTTAGCAACCAACACATTAGGGTGGTTAATATTTAAAAAAAAAACAACAAAACAACCCCAGAAAACAACACCACTGGTGAGAATATAAATAAGTGGGACGTTTTTTGCTCTTGGTGGACATGTAAAATGGTACAGCTGCTATGAAAAACAGTATGGAGGTTCCTCAAAAATAGGAAATAGAATTACCATATGATCCAGTAATTCTTCTGGTTATATACCACCCAAAATAATTGTAAGGAGGGTCTTGAGATATTTGTATACCTATGATCATATCAGGATTATTATTAATAGCTATAATGTTGAAGCAACGCAGTTATCTATCAACAGATGAGTGGATAAGCAAAATGTGATTTACAAATACAATGGAATATTATTCAGCTTTGAAAAGGAAGGAAATTCTGACATGCTACAACAATGGATGAACCTTGAGGACATAATGCTAAGTGAAATAAGCCAGTCACAAAAAAACAAATACTGTGTGATTCCACTTAAATACTTACAGTAGTCAAAATCACACAGACAGAAAGGAGTGTAATAGTTGTTAGGGGTTAAGGGGAGGGGACAGTGGAGGGTTGTTGTTTAGAGGGTATAAAGCAGCGATTTTCCACCATTTTCATCTCATGGCATAATTAATCTAATTACTAAAATTCTGTGTCACAAAAAATGTTTTTTTTGCCGATGTGACAAAAAATAGGTATAATTTTGATTCATTCATACTGGACAGTTACTGTCGTGTTGACTGTTGTCATTTTTTAAGGGAAAAGAGGTCAGTGGTCAGTGTCCCTGGCTAAATAGTCAGGTATTACATGTTTTAAAAATCTCGCTGCACAGCATTTGAAAATCACTGGTATAGAGTGATTTCACAAGGTGATAAGAGTTACGGGGATGGATGGTGGTGGTGATTGCACATTATACATGTGTTTAGTACCACTGAACTGTGCACTTAAAAATGGCTAAGATGCTAAATTTATGTGTATTTTACCACAATAAAATACAAAAAAAATTTAAAACACTCAGTTTGTCAGTTGCAGTAGCTACATTTCAAGTGCTCAGTAGGCACATAAAACTAAAGCTACCAGATTGGATAGTGTGCATTTCCATTTCTCACAAAGGTACGTTTGATGGCCCTGGTTTAGAATGCAGGAGCTCTAAGAAAATCCACCAAAGATCTGTGAAACCCTGTTGGCAATAAGTACACATATTATATACTTAATACATAGGTTGAGATTCACAGCATGTGTACAGAGCCTTACACGTTACAGTGTGGCGCCTCTTCACTAATATTTTCATGAGTTCCTCAGTTTGCTGCGCTTAACCACTGGACTAAAGTTGCTCATTTGCCTGTCATTAACTAGCTGTGTAACTTGGAACTCGTTATTTAAGCTCTCTGGGCCTTTTGCTTCCTTTTCAAAAAGGGGAGAGGGAGTCTTTGAGGGTTTCAAAGATTCTCTGAGTCTTGACCATTATAAAGGAGGACAAGGTAAGCAGGCACCAAAGAAAACAGGTGAGTGGTGGAAGCATAATTTCTGTGTTGCAGACAGACGTGTCTGTGTCTGTCACTGTGTGTTCCTGGGACTTTAGGTTCTGCAGTTAACAAAGGGAATGGTATTATTTCCTTTTTGGCTTGGTTTCTCATATCTTTAGAACGGCTTCCAAACATTCCTTTTCAGAGGAAGGAAGGAGTATATCAGAAATAGGATCTTTACACTTGGGGATTTTAAGCTTTGTCTAAAGTTAATTACCAAATAATATATTATCTGGTCAGGTTTTCATCTGGTGGATCTAGCTCTAAGGGCTGAAATGGAAACTGGGTGTGTCAGAGGAGTAGAGAGAGGAGTTATATTCACAAACGTCTTAGGAGGTAGTAATTATCCTCACTTACCGATGAGGAAACCAGTGGTAAGGAAACTGCTGCAGCATAAAACTGGGTAGTGCTCGGATTCGGTGCAGGCCTGCCAAAGCCCATGGATTTTCCATTTGGCTGCCCGTGAAGAGAGGCTGTGAGAACACTTGCCGAGTTTCCTTGGCAAATGTGCAGTTATGATTAGAAGCATGGTTTAATCCTCAGAAGGGATTTAGGGGTAATGGGCAATAAAAACAACGTAGGGGCAAAAGTCTGCCATTCTCCGTTAGCATAGAAGGCTGAAGCCACTGGTCTTAACTGGGGAGAAATGCAGGGAGAGTGATAGATAAATGTCGGTGGGCTTTTTGTAGGGCACTACCGGTGAACCTGGTCCAGCCTACTGTCCTGCATTCCACCTTGCAGGAAGGGATGCCAGAATTTGATTGCGTACCCTAAGATCCTGTGGCTTTAGAGAAGGATTTCGGGCTAGATGGAGTGCTGAATGACAAGTTGTCCAAGGGTATTTCAGAGTAGCATTAGGGACAATTAGAAATAGAAGCAGCAAGAAAGCAAGATAGAAGGTTCAGGGTCAAGGAAGATGTGACCAAACTCCCTTCTTTGCCTCTGGCTGACAGACCTTGGAGTCATCTTGGAGTCTTGAATCAACACTCAGAAGGAGGAGAATGCGGAAGCCAACAGTGTGCTGTGCTCATGTGCTCAGATGTGGGTGCGGAGGCATTGCTCTGGGGGCTTTTCCCGCCAAAGGTGATGGGCTCCTGCCTTGTGTACTCACCTTAGTGGGACGCGAGCTTCAGGTGCGTGGTCGTCACTCACTGAACTTCCGCTAAAGCTCCTGAGTTGGGATTGATAACTTCCAGAGGGGGCTGGGATATGAGCAAGAGAAAAACAGAAATGCCGGTAGCATTAAACTACATTAATACATAGAGGGAGAGGAGGGAGAAAGGGAAAAAGGTGAGGAAGTAGGAGAGAAAGAGCCTGAGAAATCAACCGACTGCAAGAGTGTCCCTTCAGTTGTATGCAGTACACGGTGCCCAACTTCCTAGAGAGCTTGCCGCTAACAAATATGTAGCTCATACTAAATTTCCAGAGATTAGGATTTATTTAAAATAAGGTGTAACTTTCTACAGGTAAATAGTTCTCATTTCTAACGTTAAAAAAACAAAACAAAACACATATCCAGCAAAAGATAATTGTTCTTCCAATCCCAACCTGCTGGCCTCTTCTGTCATTCCAGGTTTATGCACTGCATGTACAAGCTTATGTGTCCGTTGGTCATTTTCATGTATGTGCATATATATTTATATTTAATTTAGTGGGAGTGTATTGTTCCCACCTGTGTGTAATTTTTTTTTCCATTAAAACCGCTTGGACTGTTTTAATGGCCTACTACCCCATTGTATAGATGTGGAAGGCTAGGGCTGGAGTTGCTTCAGTGACAGTGGTAGGAGTTGTTATGGGATAGTAGAACCTATTAACAGGGCTCACCTGGGGGCGAGCTGCTAACCTTTTTCTAATACTTTATGTGTAGTGTCTACAGGGCAGTAGCTTAGTGAAATTCAATGGATGTTCTTGCCCTTGAAATTTCTTAGTTATCTCCTTTTGGCTTTCGGAAAGTGCCAAAAGTGAGAGTGAGAAATACCCAGGAATTATTGCTGAGATTATTGGCTGAATTCTAAGGGTGCTGGGAAGCAATTGGATTTACCAAGCTGTTGTTTCATTTATTGGAGAATTGACCATGTACCTTAGAAAAAAGTGTCTACAATCTTGACTGAAGTTTCCTCAAATAATAGGTATAAAAGATTTCTGGTGTTTTTATCTATGATTGTGGGTATTATTTTGGAAGAAATAGCCTTTTGAAGAAATGCCCTGTTCAGTTCTTAAACTAGCAGGGTCAGATGTTAGCAGATGCGCTATCAATTAACACATAGTTTCTTTCCAGTCATTTTTGGGGCTCCCAGAAAAAAAAAGGTGAGCATTTTGGCCTATAAAGTACTATGAATTAAGTACTAAGTACTAACTTCAGTATTATCTCTGTGGTTTTACTTTTTAATTTTAGCATAAAAGTTATATTTTCAAAATTTATGAACTTACTTAAAAAAAAAACACCTCAGGCATTCTTCCTCCTGGGCTCCTGTTCATTTTATTTTATACTCCGCTTTTCTTCCAGTGCAGCTAGTAGGTTGCTGTTTGACCCAGTGCTTATACTAGGTCCACATAGTTCTTTGCCTCTGCATTTCTGTGCAGAGCTGTGAGATGAAGGGTTGCACTGT